CACTTGAGCCAGCGGAGAGAGTCGTCACCTTGTCTTCATTGCCTTCGGGGGTAGGAGAAACGTCGTTACTTTTTGCGGGGAACTGGGGCAATAGTCTGTGGTGTTGAGAACTTGATCATGCCCTTATTTGTGAGTAGGTTGTTATATGTGCCTGTGGGGATTGCCTGTATGTTCTACATTCTTTGCTGTTGGCCTTGGGTTTTTTAAGATATGCAAGAAGTTTCAAACAGTTTAAAAGTATGGACTCCTCTCCTACTTTCAAGGAGGAGATGCTGAAAGGTACCACTCCTGGTGTTCCTTTATTTCCTCCCTGAGTTCTTGCAGGTCCCCCACTGAATTTATCACTTAAGGAACTAAAGACCTTAACTAAGTTAGGGACTTTTAGGTCTGTCTAGCTTTAGTCCTGCCTGAAGGTTTGCCCTTATCTCAGATAGCGAGACGGCTTTCATCTAAGTGCTTAGGCTTGGGTTGGGAGCTCACCCTCCCTGACCCCAGGGCCATGAATTCTTCAAGTTTTAAAATGTGGAAGTAATGCACCACACAGCTACTAGATTTATGCACGCATGTATAGCTGTGTGTGATGGTGGTGGAGGTGAGGTTCAGGAGGCAGAGACTGCCGTTATTTGCTTCATAAGAGCCGAAGATCTTAATAAGTAGTTTTGCAAGATCACGCAAGTGTTTGTTTTAGGGTCCGAGCCTTGGCTTCTTTAGTTCATCAACAGCAAGACTATCCTCATAGATAGGTGAAAATGAGGAGAAGGGAAAGAAAGAGGGAAAACGGCAGCTTTTATAGACTGCGAGCGATCCCTGATGATTGCCGCTAATAAATAATGTGCTAATAATTTGCAGCAACAGATTGAATAGAAATTAATGAAAGGTGAACGGGACAGATTTGAGAAAGCCCTTTCTGTTATTATCTCTTGCCTCCATGAAGAGTAGATGTCAGACAGTTTAAAACTATGAATATAAACTTTTCCTCCTACGTAGAAAGAATTAAACACGTAATCTTTAGTGGTGAAGGGCTAAGGCTGTGAAGTCTTGGGTTTGACCATGGGAAACGTTCTTCTTCAGGCCAGCTTTTGTGAAGCCTCCTCAGACCTTTCAGTACCCTCATTCAGTAGCTAAGAATAGTCAGAAATGCCATTTTGGACAGGGGGTAAATTGTCCACCTATCACCTACCTCTCTTAGGTTGGGCAAGTGCCACAAGCTTATGAGACTGGTTGTGTTGAAAGACTTGATACTGAGATCTTCCCAATCTATTGCTTATTCTTTAGGGGAGAAATCACTCACATATATTAAACGAATTTTCTTTAGTTGATTTTAACTGGGGTGAGGGTGGGGGCTGAAAAGTTAAGAAGGTAGAGAAGGGATGTTACAAAGTTACATGGTGACAATTTTAAAGGCTATCATGTTTCAGATCAGCTGGGAGGGAAAGGCTGGCCTAGGACATTTTAATAGCCAGGTGGTTGTAGAGTAGTTACATCTATTTACAGATGATAACTCAGGTTCCAACTATTCTGTATGGGTTTGCCTGGTGTCATTTACAGGCAATTTCTGGCTCTACATCATACTTCATTTTAAGTTACTTCTTTCTTTGGAAAAGTTTGTGTCTCTGTAAAATTGAAAGTTTTTTTTTCTTCTAATTCACAGCCTAGGTGCAAAGTTAACCCGTAACTCCACCTGTATGTACAGTAAGTTTTACATGGACTTCCTAAATGCCTTTACTGGAGGAAAAATAGTTTAGAAAGAGATTTTAGCAATTCACATTTGACATTGAGATTTGGACCTTAAAGTGTAATTATTTTTTCATCGATAAAGTAAGATTTATTAGACTAATGAATAACGGAGGCATTTTCTAAGGTTGATTTTCCTCCATCCTATATTTGTATAGAATGAAGCAGACTCTGGAATGCTAATAGGAAGACAGAGGGATGGATACTTTGACTTTGACGTCCCATTGAGAGCCAGCATTCTAAGTGGGTACATCTGCTTCTGGGCCTCTCCTAAGAGCTCTCTCCCAGGGCCTGTGCCTTCTTTAAAAGGGTGTCTTTGTAATTAAGCAGCCCTTCCCCCCAACTCCCTCCTTCTTTTGATCCAGTTTTTTAGGCTTATTTTCCATTTGGAGACGAAGAGTTTCTCACACCCTCCTGCTCCCCTCTTAACATTTCTTTTCCTTTATCCCAGAAAAGCCCAGCCCAACACCAAGTTCTCAGGATGGTTTTCAGTCTGTTGTGTTTGGGACGGAGGGAGGGTTCCCAGTGAGGAGGAGTAGAGGATATATTCCCTCTTGGGAAATGCTTGTGGCCAGGTAGCCTCCTCCATGGAGACTGAGCTTTTGGAATGCATGAGAACGGTCTATTCTTCAGGACTGTCTGGTAGAAATTGTCCTTTGCACCCATTAAGCCCAGCTTAAACCCACTGAAAGGGGTGGAGAGAGGTGTGTGGTCAGGCCTAGCCTTTTAGGGTGGTAAATGTTTCCAAATCTATTACATCATCTCTTTCTTCCATGGATTCAGTGCGTTCTGCGATCTGCATGACAAGTTAATTAGCTGGGGGCTAACCCAATTTGTTTAGAATTGTGATCTATTGATTTCCTGTCCTCAGGAATTTTTGTTGGTGTTTTATTATGGTGTGTTGTCTTTAGCATTACTTTTCATTCCTTGTTGCCTTTTGTGGACTTTGCTCCAAAATCTAGGTTCCCACCCCCAAGTCAAAGGTTAGAATTTAGTTGTAGGAACTAAGGGGGTATTAAACAGGCTGGGATGCCGCATTACTCTCCTCCATGGTGGGCTTCTGACCCTTTGTAAGGAAGTTGCCCCTTCCACATGCAACACACACAGTCTGAACAAAAAAATGGCAGGAAGAAAATGAAAGAAAGTAGACGGTCATTTGCTTTATAAAAGCATCTATCTACACAGGCTTCCTTGAAGAGAACTAGTTTTCCTAGTAAGTGTCCTTAAACTATGACTTGATAGGTAGAAATAAAAAAACAGGATCATATTTATTGCATAAAGCACTGCATTAGCATTTGCTGTGTTGATTATTGCCTGAACTAAATGAGGCTATTATTGGGCTTTTGAAGCCTTTTGTTATGGGATGGAGTTAATTGTCTATATCATTCTGGCTTGTAATAATACTACCCACATTAGACTCAGCCCACACATGCTTGTAGGAAGGAGTTAGCATTACTTTCTGAAACAAATCTAACTTTGTAGATTTTGAATGTCTAAGGATGAGATGCTCCACCCCAGTTTCGTAAAAATATTCTCTTTCCAGGTATTATATTTGACTAGCCCAAGGACCTAGAAAGTTGGTTTTTTGGTCTGTTTACTTTTTTAAAAAATATAAGAGTTTGTGATAGGTTTTCCAGGTGAGCCCGTTGAGGAGAGGACCTGGGCTTTAGCAGAGTTTCCTCCACTGTAAATTGTGAAGATGGCACAGGGTAATTTTGACAGTCAGTTCTCCAAAGTTCATGCTTATCTTTTGAGACTTCTCTAACCTGGTGTGCCCATGAATGACTGGTACCAGAATGAGACGCAACAGTTGTTACCAATTACAATCCTGTACTCATCCTGTGTGTGTGTGGGGGGGATGGGGTAGGAGTGGGGATGAGTCTGTAATAATATATCTATAGAAATGTGCTTTCTATTTCAGTGGTCTCAGATAATAAACCCAAGACTCTGTACAAAACTTCAAGAATCCCATTCATTTTTTTTCCTGGTCGCTCTATTGTGAATTGCCCATAGGAGTATGCAATGTTGCCTTTAAGTAAGAGCTTGTCACACACCAAGTTTTATAACTGATACAGAGTAATGGAGTTAGAACTGAAGTGAGTACATGTGAAGAATCTCATACATTTTCTTCCCAGAATTTCAGGAGGGACAAACAGGTTTAAGTGAGTTCTAAACACTGCCTGGGACTTATAAGTGGTTCATTTCTGTGTATAGCAAGCCCATTAATGCTATTCGTCTGACCTCCACTTACACACTGAAAAACCAAACTACAACCCAGTGTCTACTTGTCTAAATCATTGGAAATTATTTTTAAATTGATGCATCATGATATCTCAATATAGTATAAATTTGGATGGACTATGAAGGATCCAGAATAAGGTAAGGGGAGCAGGAAGGCCTAGGTATGCTTGTTTGAGAGCTTCAAAATTGTGTTTGTCAGCCTGGGAGGGGCCTAAAGAACACAGCATATAGGTACAGTAGAGTGGTCCACACACGAAGGGCTCTTTTTTATATAAATTTTATTTGTGTATTTGGGTTTTTTATGTATGAGTGCCAGAAGAGGGCATCTGGTCCCATTATAGATGGTTGTGAGCCACCTTGTGGTTACTGGGAATTGAACTCAGGACCTATGGAAGAACTGAGCCATCTCTCCTGCCCCTCAAAGGGCTCTTTTATTTGAGACCTTTAGTCCTAGTGAAACTTAAGCTTCATGGACCTTTAATTATCCTTTAATAAATAAAATAGAGTCTGTGAGTGATAACTAGTTTTTGATAGTGTCATTCCTGGCAAACTAATAGCTCTTCACAAATTGAATGAAATTTCTTCAGCCAAAATAAAAATACTGAAATCTAAGTCTGTAGCATATACACATTTCCAAGTGAAATATAGGCATATGTTTCATACTTTGTGCTCCTCGGGGAAGAAATACAGGTGGGTTTATTTGGTAACAGTTCCTAATGTGACGTCCCAACCCCGAGATTTGCTTGACATTTGTGAAGTTACTCTCACTCTTTCTCTTTAAGTCCGTATGACTTAAAGCCAGGGTTTGGGATTCTCTGCCCAGCCCCTCTCTGACTTGCCATGTGACCAAGGGTAGCTGAATTAGCTTCTCTAAGCTTCAGTTACCCTTCTGGGAAGGGAGGATATTAATACTTCACAGAGGTATTCAGGCATGCTTCATATTGGGCATATGCTTTGAGGTCACTGGAAGAGAAGGGTTTGCATGATGGTGGAACGGGGTTAGTTAGTAGAAGCTCCTGAGCAGGTGTTTGTATTTAATGAGCTTTTTCTCTCTTACAGCATGCAGTGAGTGCCCTTTGGTGTGCCCCATTGCCTTACCGAGTATAATTAAGACTGACCCTGCATTTGTGTTATTGAACCTCTTGACCTTTTAAGAAAATTAAACAGTTTCATATTCTGTGATAGGTGGAGGTAAAATAAAAGGAAAGTAGCGACAGTCAGGGTAAGAAAAATAGTTTGAGAAAGCGACATTAGTTGGAATACACCCTAGTATCCAGGGAGTTCTTGAAAACTCCTTCAAGCAGTTAGAGTAAAGCAAATTTTGATGTGTCTGTGTTTTTAGGAAGAAAGTTTTGAGTAATGCTTGCCTGTGACAAATACTGGTGATAGCCAGTAACTGAAACCCAGCTATTGTAGTATTGTGCACAGCTGGTTTTTATTAATGATGGAATATTTATGCTTGCTCTACAATCCGTGGCTCATTTCCATGCGTATGTCAGAACTTAAATACCCCCAAAGGCAACATTAAGATAACATTAAATATAAATGTGGCCAAACTAGAAAGGGTGCATTTGGGGGGTACCTCCCTTATATTTATTGGTGTTGTTTTAGATTACAATAGCTGGTCACCTTTATGCAGTGATGCTGATCTTTTGCCTTCTTATAACATCCCATAGTAAACTTCAGGTTTTGATACCTTTGATATGAACAAGTGATTGGCTCCCCCCTTTATGGTGCACATGAAACTGATGTATGTATTTTTTAAGAGCAGTTTTTCCCAGCACATGCTTCTCATTATCTGAGAGGCCTGGACTCAATCAGTAAAGGAGCAGAGAAACCACATAATTGAAAGGAGAATGACGGTGGTGCATACTTGGAATATTTGTGGGAAGGGGATTGCTGACATCAGAAAATGTAGTGGCCTGAGTGTTAACAGCATTGAAGAGAAATCAGCTTTCTGTGTTTCTGTGTATTGAGAATTATTTTAAGGCGATACAAATATGGGCCAGGTTTGACATCTTTTATGAAGTTGTCCTGGAAACTTTGAAGGTTGTTATAGAAAAGTTCAATTAAAACCTTCCCTGTTCGGAAGCTAATTAGCTCATCCTTTACTCGCTCATTTCAGTTGTTTTCAAGAGGCGATGATTTGCATTAAATTAGTGGCATTCTCCCTCACGTGACAGCAAACTAAGATTAAAAATAAAGTCACAGATGAGGAAAATCATTTTGATTGCCAATTCTGAAGAAATAGAATTTCCTCTGTTACCTTGGGCTTTCCGTGTAGATCTTTGTTTTACTCCATTTGTACAGTGATCCCAATTTAATTTAGTATCCAGTTTTACCTAGTGGATCATGAGTTGTGAACCACAACATAATAATGGGAGTTCTTTGTGTGAATTGTGAAAATACAATGGATCATAACACACTATTACAGTAATCTATTTTCTTCTATGATTTTCTTCTCTCTTTTTTTGTCTCCCCCCCAACCCCGTGTGTGTGTGTGTGTGTGTGTGTGTGTGTGTGTGTGTGTGTGTGTGTATGTGTGTATGTGTGTGTGTGTTTGCCTGAACACATGGAAATGTCAGGAGGTGAGAGAGGGAGAGGAGAGAGAGAGACAGAGAGAGAGAGAGAGAGAGAGAGAGAGAGAGAGAGAGAGAGATTGTTTTCTAAAGCAGTTTTTGGAGCTAAGAAAATATTGATGACCTGCTTTACCCCCTAGAGCATTCTTTTTGCCTGAGGCTGCCAATTAAGATTGTGTAGGGCAGTGAGGTAAAGTTTTCTGACCTGGTTTTGCTGTGACCAGGCTAAGCACTTCTCCCTTGGTAGCATGAAGGTAGGGTTAAGGTGGAGCTAACCATAAGCATAGGCTTCCTAATAGTTTCTTTTTTACTTCACCTCTTTTAGGAAAATAAATAATGACTTCTGAGATTTCAGGGCCATCTGCAGAAGAATAGATGTTCTATAGAGTGAGAAAATAAAATATCTACTTTGAGTCCCCTTTCCCTCCACAGCTTGTAGGAGAGGGTCATTCTTTATATATACATAGTCCCTGATGCCTTCCCCACAGTCCAGACCAGCATTAGTTTCTATTAGTGGGGCACTTCCTCAGGCTATATGATGTGTGTCATAACTGATCTTAGTCGAGTCCTTCCTTGAGAAGGCAGGGTCTAGTTTCAGTTCTACAAGGGAACATAGTCAAACTAGGTTTCTGGTTCTTGCAGATCAGCAGGAGGAGGAGGGGCAGCTGCGTCTGTCTTAGGAGAGTGACTCAGGTTCTTTGGCATGAAGATATGAAACACTGGCTCTTATCCATGCACCTGCTGGATGCCACACCTGCAGTCAGCACCTGAGCTCCACTCAGACACAAAATGTGACTGAAGGCAAATGGGGCTCCCTTCCAAAGTTCTACAGTAAAATGGGGGACTCGAATGGTGTCAGCGCAACACCCATGAGAGTTAAACGAAGCAAGTCATTCTCCTGTTAGCTTGAGAAAATGTCTTAATACTTTCTTGTAGATGAAACACACTTCGACACACTGTTGGGAGTGCTGAGGGGATTTGTCTTTTTTAATAAGTTTCTCTCATTTTAAATTAAAATTAAAGTTTAACTAAAAATTTCTGTTGTAAACTGTCTTCTTCAAAATCAGACAAGACATTTGTGGAAGGGTTTGTCTTTTACCTGAACACAGGGCAGGAAGTCACAAGATTTGCTTACTGATCCTGACCCTACTGGTAAGCAACAGTGAAAACTTGATCCAGTTAGTTAACATTAGCTATCTGCTCTGGATTCGTGTTTCTCCAGTGCTAAAGTGGAGTTAATCACATCTGTCTTTACTTCCACCCACAGCTGCTGAGAAGGCTAACGGAAGTGCAAGAACCATTGACTCTTTAGACAGAAGGCCCAGAAACTAAAGGTAATAATAATGTTAGTATTCTATGTCTTTTGTATCTTTTAGTCTGTTTTAGCCTCTATCAAAGTCTTTGGGAAGTTGTTATTCACTCGTCATGCACTTATTGAGCACACTGAATACATGAGTTAGTGTTTTAGGTACTGGGATAGAAATAGCATACATACCCCATGTCCTCCAAGATCTCATATTCTAGCAACTTGCACATTCAGTTCTAGCTCAACTTGCTGTGATTTCTCCAAGCTTAAAACCCCAAATGAGGAATTACCTTCTTTTATGTCTCTGAATTATGACAGGAGACTTACATCCCGGAACCAAGGTCTTCCTGATGGAAGTTATATAGAGGAGGTGACCTGAGTGATAATAAATGCAGAAATTTGTTTCACATTTCCAATGTACACAATCCTCAAATGGTTTTCTTCAGGGGTCCATCATTCTTTCTTCCTTGCTGAATTCTGTTCCTATTCTGTGGTCCAACTCCCTGATATGCCTTTAGCACTTAAACACATGCCAATGACTTTCAAAGATATATTTCAGTATGTCTTTGAAATCACTTTGGTCCACAAATTCAGGGCCTTGTATTCAACCCAAAGACTTTTCCTTTCTGCCTCGTCAGAGATATAGTTCATGGCTCTGTGTTCTACAGAAATATTAGATTAGACCTGTCTTTCCTAGAACCTCCTGATGCCTGAGCTTAAATTATCTATTTTTTTTTCTACTCCAGTGTCTTGGTCTATATGAAAACTAAACGCTTGGCTATAGTAAAAGCTCACTAAATGGTGGTGAATAGTCCACTTTGATTAGTGCTAAATTGAGTTGTATACAAAGGACCACAGAAACATAAAGAGAACAGAATTCATTTTCTATACTGAGCAGAATTCATGGCAGGGAAGAAATGGAGAATTATTAGTGAAATCTTTGAAGGCGGGGATGAACTACACTTTTCTGAGAGTTTTAGAAAAGAAATAAACAAAATGGCCATCATGTGAAGCCGGGGGCATTTCTGGTCTGCTGCCTTCACTGCCTAAAACCTGGGTAGCTTTTTATGGTCAAATATGTGAATAAACTTGTGTTTATAACACATTGACCATTTCCACAGACGGTATTTATTCATATTGTATTAAATCAGGTCACCCTTTAATGTACTACTTTTGTTGAAGCTGCAAATAGAGCCATGTACACAGGCTTCTTGTTCATATACATTCAGTTTTAGATAGCAACATGCCCATTAGGATAGATTGAAGATTGGGAACTCAAAGCTAACAAATTCCATTCTCAGAAAGTAACGGGCTGGGTCACTAGAACTGAATGTCTTCAAGCTGACTGTCAGATCTTTCCAAGGGCAAAAATGAAAGATGATATAAGCCATTACAGGCCATGAACCTGTTCTCACCCATCTGATGTTCTTACTAATTAGCTTCTTGGCCAAGTGGCAATTTGGGGCAAGTGCATGCAAGCTAGATTCCTAGGGGAGCCCACATTCCGCTCTCTGCCATTTCAAAAGTCACTGAGGTCCTACAGTGCTTCTCTTGGCCTTAGCTTCCCAGTGACCCCAGGAACTCTGCTCCGACCTGGTGGAGAAATGGGGGCAAAAGAATATTTTATTAAATGAAAGAAAGATTTCATGGGGCTTTGGTGTGCTCTGCTATTTTTGTTTGTTTTTTAATGGATTGTCAAAAACATTTGTGCTCCTTGACCCATTAAAGTCACTCGTGGGATTGTATTGTTCAGAAACGATATTTTTATTAAAATTAAGATTGTATTAATATCATTAAGAAAATATACTTTTCCAAAATATGGCAAAGGGTTAAATCACAAAGATTTTTATAACATTATTTAGACTAGACAAAATTGGAAGCCTTTTGACTATCTTAATTGGAAAATGGGTAAGTGCATCTTGATACACTCATTTAATGGACCATTTCATGACTATTAAACAGTATTTGTTATGACTTGTATGCCAAAACATGGGTAAAAAGCTTATAATAACATGAAATGTATGATCCCATATTATGGGCATATTAATATTTCTTTGTGCTGGTTGTGGTGGCTCACACCTGTAGTCCCAGCACTGGGTAAACTGATCAGAATGATTGCCACATGCTTAAGGCCAGCATGGACTACACAGTGAGTTCCAGGTTAGTCCGGGCTCCAAAAACAAAAACAGGTGTTTTTCATTGCTTTGCAAAGGTCAAATTAGAACGTTCAAAAATAATAACAATGCTGAAGTATTGGACTTATCAGTGATTTATCTTTCTTATAAATTTTTGCGCGCTGTGTTTTTGTTGTTTATAAAAATAAAGTGAAAATAACAATACCATAGTGGGAGGACATTGTAAAGGCAGCAGGTATCTAGGGAGATTCTGAAACCTCCTTTTAGGTTCATCTTGATCTTATCAATCCCTTATACTTTTTCTGAGTCATTAAGTGGCAGGATGTGGTAACACGTTCTAGCAATCCTCTATAAACGGATGTCTATCAGAGTGGTGGGGACAGGATTTACCCCACTACTCTGTTTCACTGGCCCCTCCACTGTCTTCGTGATAACTTTGTTGCCCATTAATAAGTTAGTTGTTTCAGGTCAAGGAAATGAAAGTGTAAGTGGGATAAAAGTGGCCAATTCTGATGTGGGCAGGATGACTCAGAGGGTTAAGGCACCTGCCTCTGGGAAGACTTGAGTTTCATCTCCAGGATCTACATGGTAGAAGGAGACAACTGACTCTCTCCAAGTTTATGTCTCATCTGTATATGCACAAGATGGTGTACATGCCCACACACTGGTGTACACACACACACACACACACACACACACACACACACACAAAATAAACAAATTAAAATGGAAAACAAGATGGTAATGAATTAATGTTTTAGAAACATTTCTCACATGATCCTCAGTAAGAGCTGAAAATTCAAGGCCTTCCAGTAACTTTTCAGTGTGATCCAGGCAATGAATGATATAGGAAAGAACTGACGCTCACTCTCCCCTTAGACATTTTCTAAGCAAGAGCAAATGCCTTATCTGGTATGCAAGTGACAGGAAGGACTGTGGGGCATTAAGTGATCTCCCAAGAGTCTTCCAAATTCTGGCTGGTGATGGCTTAAGAAACCCTGCACCAGTAATTGAGATGCAAACAGGGCCTTTAAATCAAACTGCTTTCATAATTTTTTTAAAGCATGTTAGAAAAAAGCGAAAGCAAAATACCAACTATAGTAATCTTTACTGTGTATCAGGGTCCTTTTACAGGGAATACCTCTACTTCTCTTAATCTTGGTAACAATCTTATGTTGTGTGTACACGATGGATCCCGATTTGTAGGTGATGCCACTGCGATCCATGGAGGTAAAGGAACATGGACGAGGTCAATTAATGAAGACCTTGATTCAGGATTTGAACTTGAAAACTCTTCACTGTGCTGCTTTTTTATTGCTTCCCCATTACCTATCAAACTCAATGCTATGCAAAGAATCGAATGTGTGCTTTGTGTTGCAAGATTTCTTGGGAAAGGTGGTGTGTATGAAAGACCAGGCCATCAAGCAGTCCAACTTGAGAGTACCTAAAAGCTTCCTGGCTTTGTTGTTAGATTTATTTATTTGAAGGGGTGTTTGGCCTGCATGCATTTGTGCATGGTGTGCATGCAGTGCCTGTGGTGTCCAGGAGAGGTCGCACGATACCATGCAACTGGAGTTAGAGACAGTTGTGAGCTGCCATGTGGGTACTGGGAATTGAACCCTGGTCCTTTGGAAGAGCATTCAGGGCTCTTAAACACTGAGTCATCTCTCTAGTCCAGGCTTCTTGCTTTAACGAGGGTGTGCTTGTGTGTGGTGTGTGATGTTTTGTTTACAAAGACATAGTCACAGATATTTTGACCTGGATGCTTTCCACTCAGCTGGAAATACAGTATGAAGTAGATTGTTCCGAATTTAACAGAGAAACCGGTTTTCTAGTCTAGCTTTTCCGTCCTTGTTTGTGTAGTAAAGGGCAGAATGGAAGGAGGAAGTAGAAGGAGGGTTAGAAAGAAGACCTAATAGGCTTATTGCAAAATTTATTTGAAGGGCAAAATATGGTTTGTTCTGGTCACCTTGTAATGTTGATTTTGCTGGGTCTTGGCTTGGGAAATATCTGAGCTCTCACTAAGGTGTTTGGCTCAGCTGCCAGGTATATAGGGAGAGGTTAATGGCTGCAAATGGAGCAAAAATTTAGCTTCACCTTGCTGTCTTGTTATAGAAGAGCTGGAGATATAGGTTTATATTGCACGTTTAAAGAAGGAGCTAGGAATTTCCTTTCTTCTGGTCCACTATCCTCAATGGGACTCTGTGTGTCCAAGAGCAACAAGGTTATTTGACTGATTGAAGATGATGTCAGATCCTTGGCAGTGGCATGATTAAAAGTGTGGGCAAATTAAAGGTTGCAGAGCTCATACTGTTTCAGTACTTGTGCATAAGGAAGTGATCTTCTCTTTTAATTACTAGTGTCATGCTTTTCCTTAGCATAACGAGGCCATAAGGTCTTTAATAAAAGAACTATAAGCTGGGGAGAACTCTATATAGTTTTCTTTCTTTGTTTCCTGACCTGATTCGCTTTCCTGTTAAACAGAAACCGAAAAGATCTTATACGCAAGTGGGAGAACACAGTTAGTGTCCAGTCGGTATTCTAAAGTGATTTGGATTTTGAAAAAGGTGCAGAAGAGCTTGAACAAAATTAAGGGGAAGGAGATTTTAGCCAAGTAATGTTTTCTCCAGTGCAGATCAGGGTGTCAGAAGAAAGCCAGTCTCAATCAGCATGAAGAATTTAAGTAGTTCTGGAAGAGGAGCCTGTGGCACTTTCTCCCCAGGGGCTCCTGTTTGAAAGAAATCCTAGGGCTTTTCTAGTATTTCAGTTGAAAAATAGACAATTGTTTTGTTCAGAAGAGGACAATAGAAGCATGGTGGTTATTTACTATAGTTGTATTCACAGTCTAACTTTGATTCCAATTAAAAGTTGTTTCTCTGCTTTGAAATGAGTGGAGACACCCTCAAATAATTACCTTGCATATTGGAGGCAGTTTTGCTTTTGATCATGATTATACTTTGGACCAAAACAAGATGGAAAGACAAATTTCCGGGTTTGTTCACTCTATATCTGCTCAGTTTATTTTTGGCAATATTGCAAGGAAATAATGTTAAATTAATCACTGTGTGGTTTTGTGGATTTTTTTAAACTTGAAAATTTTGGAAAAGCTCCCAAAATCCAATGATGCTCATGTGTTTCTTCTGCATTGCTGTGCTTCTCACAGAGCCTCTGGTGTGGATTAAAGGGTTTCTTTTTTTTTCCTTTCTTTAAAGTGATATGAATGAGTCATTGCTAGGCCAGGATGTGGTTCATGTGCAACCTTACCTAAACACAAACTCTTTAAAGTTTACAATAGCATTGGTTGGACTTGGAGGGATTTTTAGAGAGATTCAAAGCAGAAATGGTAAATGAAGATGATCGCCAATTGGTATCTGTGGGATGTCTCTCATCTCCAATGGGAATGGAGCAGAATCCTTTTGCTGAGATACTGGGTCACAGGAAGTGCTGAGAAAGCAAACTGAGGCATACTCTGCTGCCTGGAGGAGAAGGGCCGCTGTTTTGAACTGGGTAGGATGTTCAGCTTTCCTACTCTTGCGAGGGTGATTGGCTGTTGATCAGATTGTAAGCTCCATGAGAGCAGGAACTATGTTCTGTGTATCTCTGTATGACTCATTGTGTCTAGCACAAAGCTAGCAAATATCTGGAATGGTCAATATTCAATAAATATTAAATGACTTGGCTGAAGTTTTTTCTTTCTTCTGCCCACCTGAGGCTGAGACAGTAGGATCAGGAATTTAGTGGTATTCAGTGGTCTGTTTTTGGGCCCCAGATCTAACTTACAAAGTCTACTTTCCCTTCTGGTTGTAAGGCAGTTAAAACTCATGAACCTATCCTGCTACTGACACCAACTGAGTGTTCCCCAAGGTAACAACGTTTGTAGTTATATTTGCCGCCACCTAGGGTTCCAATAGGCATGGCTTTCCAAGGCTGTGAGACTTGAACACTGCATCCCTTTCCAGGGTCATCTTAGCCTTTCTGTCTCTTGGAGACTGGAATCCTCCTGAACATACCTGAACATACAGTGGGGTTTGCTTTCTGCCTTAGGGGAGATAGAATCTGCCACTCCTTTAAAAGCCAGGCATCACAGGACAAACAAGACTTTCCCTTGGAAGGAGTAGTTTGGCTAACTGCTGGCTCTTGGTGGCAACTTAGAAACATTTTTATTTCTCCCTCCCTACCCTTCCTGAACATTTCAGAGTGACCAGTGGTTGGACTCTTGCCGGCGCTTACCCTGAACCTGAGTGTTAGGGGAGAGGGAATCTGCTGCTGCGGTTTCTGGAGCTGCTCATAAGCAAGAGTTCCCTATCCTGATCAAGGCTTTAAGCCTAAAAGAAAGCAGAAATAGGTATGAACCATTGGTGTGCACGCATGCGTGTGTGTGTGTGTGTGTGTGTGTGTGTGTGTGTGTGTGTGTGTGTCAGTCCACGAGCGCGCGCATGCTTGCTTGACTTTGAGCAGTGGGACCTGCATTTGTGTGTGCTAACCCACAGGAACACATGCCTGGGTGCCTATATGTTCGTGCTGGATGGACGGGTGTGGCATGGGAGGGGGGTGGCATACCTTTGAAGGTATGGGGTCTGGGACAGCTCACTGTCTACATTCTCCTGCCTTGTGGGAGAGGGTTGGAAGTGATATTTGTTTTAACTACAAACATTCTTGTTTCTACCTTTTTTTTTTTACTAGAAGAAAAGAATTTAGCAGTCATCTGTCCAATTTCAGGCAACAGAAGAGATTTTTATATTTGAGTCTTGAGTCCAAATCTAGGAACCACAGAGTGTCACTGGAGTGGAGAGATGTGATTCCAGGCTCAGTTAGTTAGCCTTTTGGTGGTTAGCTTACACTTCCCGCCAAAATATGGATGAGATATAAAAAGAGCTTCTTCAACTGGGAATGTAGCTTAGAGGTAGAGTGCTTGCCTAGCATGCCTATGACCCTGAGTTCCATTTCCATTACAAAACAAACCCATCAATAAGATCATTGCGTATCTGAATAAAAAAATAATAAAATGTGCCTTTGGAAGGGAAACTTGGGTCAGATTATTCCATAGAACAGTTGCAAGGCAAGTAGTGATAACCATCAAGAAATAAAAGCCAGAGGCCGAGCATGTCTGTCTTCTGTAGACATTCTAGATGCCCTGTAGCACTAAGGAAAGGGATTTCCAGAGAGCTTAGAGGTGGCCTAATATTGTAAAGACCTGGTAGGTAGAGTAGAGAATTTTCATTTGGAAACTCAACACTCAGTAAGTTGACCCTTACAGTGACTTGGTGTGTGATGTGACTATTCACACCAAGTTGCTTCTGATCTATACAGTAAAAATTTCATTGATTGGCGTTGCTGTTCACTTGTAGTATTTAACATGACAGGATTCTTCCCAAAAAGTCTTTGAGTGTCTGATAGATTGATAGGCGCCATAGAGTGTCAAGAGAGAAAGGGTGTTGTTTATGACTTGCCATTCTATTTTTCATATGAGAAAACAGAAGTCATTACGAGAAGAGTCCTGGGTTAGGCTACTCTGTAAACTGTAGTGTTATTCTGACATGAATCTTCATTTGTGCTGCTGCTATCTATTTTACAAGATCCATATTAGTCCTTTAGAAGAATTGATGGAGGTAGTCAGGGACATACATGGTCATCATACTTGTTTCACAAGGATGGGCTTGGATTTTCAGTTTCTAAATGTTGTCAGAGAAAGATTTCAAATCTAAGAGGTACTTCCCCTTATCTGCTTGTCTTGCTCAACAACAACAGCAAACTGTCTTAGTGTTTATCCTTGGATGGCCTCAAGAGAAATGTGTCAGTAATACTTATTCAAAGCCATTTTCTTATGAGATCATGGAGCATCCAAAATGGATACTAAAAAGATTTTTTAAGATTATGTCTTACAGTTATAGGCAATCTGAGAAAAAAATAGAAGCAGGGTTCATTTATACCTAGTGCCAGCTAAGCCCTCTTTGCCCAATATTTGTTTAAGTTTTATTTTGTATTTTATTTCTCCTGTCACATGCTGAACTGCTTCATAAATCCTGTTTAGGAGGTGACTTGGCCCACATCTCTGTCTCCACCTTCATAGCACAAGACTTGTATTAAATAGAGTACGGAGAGATGAACCTTGTAAGGGGTCTTAGAAATTGGCCCCTCTCATCACCCTACTTGACTGTCCCTTGTTTACCCCCTCCTTGTAGAAATTAAGTCAGGATTAATTAGATCATGGTAATGAAGGAAACAACTTTTTGGCCAAAATATTCAACATGCCAGTGCTAAAGACAATAAGCATGGAATTAGTCTATGATTTATGAATACAATTCTCTGTTTTGTTTCTGTAATGGATTCCTCTCCTTCAAAAACACATTTTCTTTCCCTTTAGAGGACTGATTTGTGCATCAGCTGGATGTTAAGCTTCCTGTTTCCCCTTCCCAGGTCAAGGGCAGCCCAAGTGCCCAATTTCTCTCTCTCTTCACAAAGCACCGCCAGCTATAGAGATGAGAAATTCTGAAGAACAGCCAAGCGGAGGAACTACAGTATTGCAACGTCTGCTTCAAGAGCAGCTTCGCTATGGCAATCCCAATGAGAATCGTAACCTGCTTGCCATACACCAGCAAGCCACAGGGAATAGCCCTCCGTTCTCCACTGGCAGTGGGAACCCAGGCCCTCAGAGCGATGTGTTGAGTCCCCAAGATCACCATCAGCAGCTTGTGGCACACCCAGCCCGACAAGAACCCCAGGGCCAGGAAATCCAGTCAGAAAACGCCATCATGGAGAAGCAGCTGTCCCCTCGAATGCAGAATAATGAGGAACTCCCAACCTATGAAGAAGCCAAGGTCCAGTCTCAGTACTTCAGGGGCCAACAGCATGCTAGTGTTGGGGCTGCCTTCTATGTCACAGGGGTCACTAACCAGAAGATGAGAACCGAGGGACGCCCATCAGTTCAGCGTCTCAATCCTGGCAAGATGCACCAAGACGAAGGACTTAGAGACCTTAAGCAAGGGCATGTCCGATCCCTGAGTGAAAGACTTATGCAGATGTCACTGGCTACCAGTGGAGTTAAAGCCCACCCACCTGTTACCAGTGTGCATCTCTCCCCACCACAACCCAGTGACCTCTACAAGAATCCCACCAGTTCCAGTGAATTCTACAAGGCTCAAGGGCCACCTCCCGGCCAGCATAGTCTGAAGGGCATGGAACACCGAGGCCCCCCACCAGAATATCCTTTCAAGGGCATGCCATCCCAGTCTGTAGTGTGCAAGTCCCAAGAGCCAGGGGGCCACTTCTATAGTGAGCATCGCCTGAACCAGCCAGGGAGAACAGAGGGGCAACTGATGAGATATCAGCACCCCCCTGAGTATGGGGCAGCCAGGTAAGAGTTCCCCTTCTGTCGTTTCCTGGCCTCACCCCCAACCAGCCTCTCTTGCTGCCTGTTGGGAAAGGGAAGGAATGGGCAGGAATTTGCTATACCAAAGGGCCCAGTGGCTGAAGAGAAGAGCAAGGCTTTATTTTAGTGTTGATAGGCTTTCTTGCCTCTGAGGATTCTGGAAGGAGGGACAGTGTATCTTATCTTTCGAGTTCTTAAGGGCTCCCTAAAGAAGCAGTAGCAAATTGTCTTGGATGATAATAGGTCTGC